TCTGTTTTAGGTTCAAAATTCAGTTGGTTACCTAAACAACTCATTAAATATGCCAAGATTCCACTTTAACCAATAAAAATCATGATCAAAGGTGGATGAACTTACCCAAGCTCAAAACAGAGGTACAAAGGCTCTTGGAGCTCACCAAGCAGCTCCTTAAGTTCAGACTTATCAAAGGTACGAAAATGGCACACCAAAGGTTCGTTCTTTCCCACCAAAGGTCACTTCTTGGACCTCAAAATTCCATGACAATGGCTTCACCCTCACCACTCAGAAACTCAGCACCTTAAACTCTCCAAACAGAGACCCAAGGTTCAGAAACAAGGCCAACACTCACCCCCAATGGTAATCCTCATGCACACAAAGTGTTTTGGAGAAGATTTCATGAAGGAAAAGGTCTCAAAGCACAAGAAATGGGGAAGGGAAGGAAATGGAACAGTAAGAGGATTTGGTCAGCCTCCAAGGTTCTCGCAGCAACTGAAAATAAGCCTAGGGTTTTGTGCAAAATGCATATATATAGGCACTTAAGTTTTAAACACACAGTATTAGCATTAATAGCTACGCTTAGCATTTTAATCCCAAACTTAGGATTCAAAACCTACTCATTTTTCTAAGATTTGTCATATTTTTATTTTATTTTTTCGCAGCACCTTTCCGGTACGCACTTTTCCATAACCAGTATCAGTTCTGGCACCAGTTCTCATTATTTTAACTTGAAACTTGTTTTACAAGTCCTATATATTATTCTAGTGACATATACACACTTTTTATAATTTTTCGGGATACTTCATCGGTACGCATTTATACCGAGTAGCATAACCGGTATCTGCACTTTTCATCAGAAGAGCGAATTTCAGCATTATTACTCACTTACCATAATTATTTAAGCTTCATAATAATTATTAGGGTCAATTATGGAATTATTTCCTAATTTCACATAATTAATTAATTAACTTCCTTAATTAACAGTGCGGGTTCTTACAATTATGCATGTTGTTTTACTGATATGCCTGGATGTTGATCACGCTTTATTTCAGTACAGTGTTATTTGATTTGAGACGTCATTGGCTATGTTGCCTTATTTGGTGAGCATGGAGGGTTGTCCATGCCGCATTGATCTCTGTTATGTTGAGTTTACTTGAGTTGTATAATGTATCAGGATATTGTCCGGTCTACATATTATAATTTCGTGGCTAGATACACAGTTAGTTATACTATGAGATTATTCAGTTAGTCTTTTATTGCAATTTACATACAAGCGATATTTTGAAAAAGAATAAGTAATCACTTGGTTAATAATAAATAGTTCATAATTGGAAAGAAAAAGTTAGCTCCCGCATTTAATCAGCTGCGCTATTACCATTGTATGTTTAATATACCGAGTGCATACGAGGTGTTACACTTTTAGAGACAATGTTATAAACCAAAATTCTTAGATGAGACACCGTTTATATATCTCATGTATAACTAAGAGAAGGGGGAATGTCTAAGGATATTGTGGCTCTGTATATTAGCATAGTAACAACTCATAAAGTATTAGATGCTAGATACCTCTTCAATGAGTGAAGAGGGATATACATAGGTGAGAAAATATTCTCTAATAATTAAAAAGAGAAAAGTCATAACTGTTTACCCACTACCACATTGTGAGGGAATGCACCCCTTTCATGCACTATGATGTGCTATGGGAGTGAAAGATCCTCTATAATAAAGTCTATCATTCTTACTATAGGGTGGGAAATGACATCTAAATTGGGTCTCTAAAGGCCAACCCATAACATTGGACTATGACCGGTCCATAACCCTAACTTTATGGAGCAAAAGGCTTGACTAATAATGTATGGATCCAACCCACTCCTTGGTCAGCTATAGTGAATAATCCAAAGCAATGAACTAACTTGAAAAATAGGTCCACCTCCATAGGGCTATCATCAAGCCTAATTCGGCTTTAGCTTGAGGGAGAAAAAAAAACATTAAACAAGAAAAAAAAGGAGAAAAAGATCAGACCTATCCCAAAAAATCAACGTGCATGTTTACCTGCCTCAGCTGATAAATAATCGGGCATGTAAAGTTGGGCTGAAATACATATAGTCCATCTCACCTCTTTTACAGGCCGCGCCATTTTCTATTTTTTAAAGCGCGGCAAATCCGTTTTAACTATACTTTTCACTCAGCTCATGTTCTATTTTAGTTCAAGTGATTAATGTTTTTGTTGACGGAGATAATTTTACTTTTTAGATATATATAAAAGTGTGTAGAGTTTTTTTTTTTTCTTTTTACATGGACTCATATAGACATCATACACTTATATATATATATATATGGTCATTGGAGATAAAATTATCTCCCGTGAACTCAAAACTCGTTTTGGCACAGAAATTAAAATATTTTTTTAATTCTAATATATTGTAGCGTTATATCAATCTTTATCATTACAATTTTTTAATCTTATAACTCCAAAACGATGTCGTTTTGAGTTTACTGTAGATAATTTTATCTCTAATAATTAAAAAAATAATATATATAATAAAATTATTTCTTATAATACTTATTTCTTAATTTAATTTAATTCACATTTTTGTCATTTTCACATGAACAACAATTCCTGTATAAGCGTGCCCACAGGGCTTGCATTTTCAAATACGCGTGGAACGCCAGTTGCTTGTAAAGTGGCAATACACGCCAAAGGGAATACCCAAAATCACCCCTTCACTTTTGTTATGTCCATATCGTCAGCTTCGTGACGAATAACTTTGGATTAGGTTATGCTTTTTGCCTAGCTGTCTCTTAGGTGCTTCTTTTTGTTCACTCATGTTTATACAGTAGCTATTTTGCATCATGCTCGCCAAGTGGCATAGACATATATTGCCTACGTGTTAAGTACAATTTTTATTTATTTGAAGGTTACATCCAATTTGAGCACCCCTTAGTTAAGAATAAAAAAATAAAAAAATAAAAAATGTATTATTTTATAAAAAATAAAAAAATGAATATAAAATAAAATAAATATAAAAAGAAAAATAATATTAATATATTTTGTTTTCTTTATATTTAATAAAAAAAAATACCGGGCATACCAAAATATATATATATATATATACCGACATAGTTCCGTAAATATTTTCCCTAGCTAGCTCAATTTTCGGTCTGCCACAGCTAGCTTAACCCCACCTCTCCCGTGAAAGGTCAAAAGCATTCATGTTAACGTGTACTGGAACAATAATAGTAAATCAGATGTGATGTAACCATAACAAAAGGTAATTTGTGAATCATCTTTTGAGGAATTGGATACTCTCAGTTTATTAAGTAACAGGATAATGTACGATTTCTTTCTTTCTTTATTCTTTTTTTCTTTTTTGAAATAGGATAATGAGCGATTGCTAATGCAATAGCTCGTGTTTATTAGATCATGCTTGTAATTTTTTTACCCTAAAAAAATAATTTCATAGTTAAGAGTTATACAGTTTTTTGAAAAATTTGTTTAGAATCAAAATCTCATGTTTAAAACGGGAGATCATTAAATGATATGAGAAGTTAAGCCCAAATGCTGCACCTATCAAAAATTGATCAATGATATATATTGACTAATCAAGTTATCAGCTCCATACAAATGTAACATGTTAGTTTCACTTCATAGAAGTTCTCACAGTTTAAAAGAGAACCATACTCCACCTTTGAAAACATTGTCTTGATGCAAAAGAACCATATCTTCAGTACTTACATGGAACCCTCGGAAAGACAAACAACAAGAACAATGAATGGGCCTTACCCTGTCGGGTAATTCCCTATCATTAAGTCATGGGGATGATTTTAAAGTGGGGAACAGCCAAAGTGCCAAACTGTTGCTTAAAAAAAATGGACCATGGCATGCCCAAACCTTCTGGCTTTGAGACTCTATTAATTCGTTTTGGTCCTGCCCGAAGGGTCCCAACCTCTTCAGAGTAGTCAATATTATACCAGCAGAATTATGCAAGTCCTATTTACAAAAAAAAAAAAAAAAAAAAAAAAAAAAAAAAAATTATGCAAGTCCTCTTTTGGTGCTTACCTCCTTTTGATCTTCTATCGTGACTTGGTAAAGCCGTTTTAATTTAGCTCCAAAAAATGTTAGACTGCATGACGAGTTTTCTGTGCGAAGCGTACTATCATTGGCACATGAACAAATTTTCAAAGCAGAAAACCTTCCCCGAAGCTTCTACCATGTGTGCTATGCCATAATCATGGAATCATATAGCAATGCATTAAGAAAATATTCCTTGTACATACATAATTATACATTTTATAAGAGTTATGTAGTAGGAAAAATAATTGTGTAACGTTATAGAGATTTATTTTATGTGCCTTAATTTTTTTTATTATTTCAAAAAGTACAGGCCCTACAAAATATTGTGTGTAGAAAATTTTTTTGTGTCACGTGACATGATAGATACAAACCCTTAATAATATACACCATTATTGATATTGACAAATAAAGATTTTAAAAAGGATAAATAAATAATTATAAGAAGAATTATGTAAATTACATTAAAAAAAAAAGTTTTGCTGAACATTGTTCATGCATTAACCATGTGTATTGTCGATATCGATGTAGCAAAAGAAGTCGTTTCAAATGTCAAAAATGTCATTTCATTAATTAAGAGCGTGATAAAAGTTATCTGCCGCCTCACTTTTTTTTTCACCACCTAATCATATTTCATTTTAGAAATATAAAAATAGAACAATAAATGAAAAAATGGGTATGTTTTTTTCTTGTTGAAGGTAAAAAATAACTCTTCCAATAAATATCATAAAAAATCGTGCCACCCGTTTTTTTATTTAGTGGGTCCACAGGATTTTGAGTAAACAGAGTAGGGGTTTGTTCTTCTATTATTAAAGGGGGTAATGCTTTTATGCTGTTGCATGAAAAAGTATTACTTTCTGTCATAAACCCTTCGAAATTTTAGCCATCAAATATTTTTTTGTTTTTTGTGAATCCCACTTGAAAATGTCTCAAACAGGAAAGCCTCTTATCTCCATAGGAGAATATAATACTCCATAAAAAAAAATGGCCAGATTTTCATGAAACAACTTTGTGGAAGACCAAAAAAAAGGTGGGGTACGTGGTTTCTCATGATAGGAGATATGATTTACTATCTTTGTTCAACCATGCAATCCGTAGTAGATATACATCACAATCTATCTGGTCATTCAGAAACCTGTTCCACAAAACAATTTCCTTGATAAATATTATCATAAAAACACTTGCATGCGACTAGTTTTCGAAAATAAGATCCTTATTATCATATGCTTTTGTATTTCTATTTAGGAAAAACGAATTTTCCAAGAATCCAGCAAAGTAGAGAGGCTAGCTAGCAAGAGCTGCAGAGATTGGGCTTAATCTAGAATATAAAACTCCAGTTATATGGTGCTGTTTTGCAGAAGTGAAGGGAAAAAAGCCTGTTTGTATCATTTGAAGAGACAAATTATTTAAAGGTTCAAAAGCTAAATCAGGTAATGAAGAGGTCCTCTTGAGTCCTTTCTAAACTCTGGCTCTTATATTCTCTCCAGTTTTGTAGCCTGTAGCAATCTGCTCCTGCATTTAAAGCTGTCTTTTTTATTAATGACCGATGCAGAGAAATAATGATGATTGCATCTCCTCTTATGAAACTAAATGACCAAGTGAACAACCCCATGTCCTTTCAAATTCAAGGAACTGTGGTATATATATATTTATGCTTTTTGTTTCATTTTCATTGACAGCTTCTAGGTGCATGATGCTGCTAGGTAAGTCAGATCATTAATGAGTGTAGATTTCCAGGTGGTGTTGTGAGGTGAGGCTGATCCATTTCATTAAAGAAAGTGCTAATTAATACTTTTTAAGTTTCTTTGAGATCACTGCAATCTGGCTGTATCTTTTCTGTGTATATATAGAAAACTGTTTGGGGTCAGATAGATGAAGGGATAAGAATTTTCAGGTGTCTAAAAACAGCTTCTTTTCTTTTTATTTTTTTCTCCCATCTCATAGATATATAAAGAGAGCAAAAGTAAAATTGTTCCGGTATGATTGAACATTACGGGTTTGAATATAAGAAAAGTCTCTTTGCAAATCGACACGGTTAAGGCGGCATATAAAGATTGTCCTTTCCTTACGCTCACTTGTTGCGATTCAACGAGTTGTGATTTTTTGTTTCAGATATATAGTTCATTTAATCATTTTACAGTTCTATCTGCTTTGGTTTCACTAACTTACTGTTTCTCCTTCTTCTTGGTCTCAGGATGGAGCCACCTCCAATAATCTTAGAAGATCCAGAGGAATGTCACAGCAGTGAATCTGGATGGACCATGTATATTGGGTCCCCAATAGATGAGGATATGGGACATTGTGATAATGATGATGATGATGAAGTGAATGATGATAACATGGATTTTGAAGGCACTCAAGCTGATCCAAAAGTTGAAAGTGATGATTCTATGGCTTCTGATGCTTCTTCTGGACCAAGTCATTATGGAATTAATCCATTGGAGAATAGCGAAGGAGGCTATAATGGCTTCACACATTTCCAGCAAAAGGAGGAAGAGGAATATGACAAGGACAAGTGTTGCTTAGATCACAAGAATGCAAGTAAAACTAAAGAAAATCAAATAGCAGAAAAAAGTGTGGAAAAGAAAGAGATGGTTTTCATCAATAGCAAAGGTAAGGGACCAGTTCAGGGCGGTCGCAAGGTCAAGGTGAGAAAAAATCACTAAGTGGGAACAATGAAAATTAAATATGAAATAGATGTGTTTATGTTACATACTATTCCAAGGCATCAGTCTTGGAGTCGCATATTAGTTATGTGGGTAACTAATATGGTATTTATATCGATTTTGAGTTCTTCAACCTCTCGAGATAACTATTGGGGTGAGGTTTCTACTTAGAAGCTTTATATTTTGTTTTCTTAGGTTTTAGTTTTTGTGATTGTGACAATAGCTGGAATTACTGGGTAAAGTGTCTGGTTTCCAGAGTTACTGGAATGTTAAGATTTTAATCTAGAAAATGTCAAGGCCAGATTAACTGCAGCATGCAAGGATAAGTGGGTATGTATGCTTATCTTTTTTTATTTTTTATTTTTTGGTAAATTGTATGCTTATCTTGTTAATTTGTAAATATTTTTTTCATGCGTTCTATAGTTTGGTGTATATGAAAGACGGATACTAGGTTACGATATGTATGCGGCGTTCGAATGCCAAGTGAAAGTAATATATAATCATAATATTAGAAAAATATAATATAAAATTATTAATATGATATTCCCTTAGTAACTTAAATTTTTGAGTTAAAATATCCATCTAAACATCACCAAAACATCCCTAATTGCAATGTGACTGAATACTGAATATCCATCTAAACTCGGTTAGTTGATTCAGTCAAGTAAGCGGTTGAAGTAGGGGAAAATGAAAATTGCTAAATCTCAATTTTTCGCATGAGTTTAGCTCCTTCAGAAAAGTTCACTTAAAAAAGACAAGTGAATATTCTTAATCCTTGATTAAAAATCAAAAAAGTCGATTGAAATAAATTTTTAATTTGTTAGGAATTCATTACGGCAGTCTAACTAAATAATCACTCTTCCCCAATTTAAACAATTAACCTTATTTTTGGAAGGACGCGTGATTTTATATTAACTTCTGTGTAAAAAGAAATTATATATTTACTGGGGGAAAAATTTACAGCAAAGGAACGAAAATCTTCATCTATGAGTCTTAACATATTAAGCTTCTAGAGAAAACTCTAATTCACAAGATCTAAAATAATAGTGTAATTCAGATTATAAATTTTTGGTGTGTATATATATATATATATATATATTAATGAGGTAGAATCTTTTGACATTAGTGTCAAATTTTAAATTTGACACTTCATCTGAGAGTCATTAGATAAAAAAAAATCAACGACTCTGATTTGTAAACATGTAACACAATTGATTTTTTTTTATCTAATGGCTTTCAGATGAGGTGTCAAATTTAAAGTTTGACACTGGTATCAAATGATCCTACTTCTATATATATATATATTTATATTAATATATATATATATATGAAAAGTTATATTTAAATTTTTTTTATTTACAAACTCTTATAAATTACACTATGTCTAACTGGTAATATACTTTTAAGTAGAGTATTACTGGTCAAACATAGTATAATTTAAAAGTTTATAAAAAAAAATTTATCGATATAATTATACTAGATATATATATATATATATATATATATATATATATATATATATATATATATATATATATATATGAGGCAGGATCCTTTGACACCGGTGTCAAAGGAAAAGTTTGACACCTCATCAAAGAGCCGTTAGATTAAAAAAAATCAATGGTGTCACATGCTTACAAATCAGAATCGTTGATTTTTTTTAATCTAACGGCTCTCAGATGAGGTGTCAAACTTTTTCTTTGACACCGGTGTCAAAGGATCCTGTCTATATATATATATATATATATATATATAAAATATTTTATTTGAAGTGAGTTGATCAATTTGGACTATATTCTCATTTGATGACAGATGTTAATAAATTATTTCGACAACTGTGTCTCTTGATTTATGTACCTTAGGAGATTACAGAAGAAAATAAATAACAAGTACAAGCAATTTGAAAAAGAGTTGTAAACAATAGAATCTTTAGATATTTACCATAGTTTCCAATAACAATCTAATTTATTTTGATTGTTGGTTAGGTAAATGGAAAATATTTTTTTAAGTAAAATGAATCTTCATAGAAAATGTTGGAAGTTACGGGGTTTAGAGAAAAGGGTTTAAAGGTGTATGAAATATTGTATCAAAAGCCATCGGATTTGAAACGCTCAACAATGTTTTTTTTAGCTTAAAAATCCTTAGAGTTAATGTAAGTTATTAGGTTCTAACCTATATGAACTCAAATAATCATATTTTCATTTATTGGATTTTGTATGTAATCATATTATTTGGATTACATAATATATACAACAGAAAATTTTGAAGATACTCTATGTTTTTTAAGAGGGCACGTCTCGTTAATAAAATCGTAAACCTCGTACACAAAGATATGGATTTGAGTAAATGTTAATTAGGGGTGTGCATTGGTCAAATTAAACTAAATTTTCTGAAAAACCAAACCAAATTGGTTTAAAAGGTTTAGTTTGGTTCAAATATGGTTCAGTTCAGTTCAAATATGATTCAGTTCGATTAAAAATGGTTCGGTTTGATTTGGATCGACCCTAATCCGAAAAGAAAAAAGAAAAAAGAAAATAAAAAATTAAAGAAATAAAATAATAAAAACTAGTTCGGTTCAAAAACATTTTATTTTTTGAACAGGTTTTAAAAACAAGTCATGTTCATAAACTTGTTCTTTAAAATTCAGTTCGGTTCACGAACTGATTTTTAAAAACCAATTATTTTAAGGTCATTCCATTTAATTTTTTGGTTATTTTATACCTCCCTAATGTCAACATGAGATTTAAGCTTGAAGATGCTTTTTATGTTGCTCTGCTTTACACGCCGGCACAGGAATTTGTTAGAATTAATAGAACTATAAACGTGACAAGATTTATGCTATGCATTAATACGCCGGACATCACATGTGAATGAACTCCTAGCTAACAGGTTCCTGCATTAATGTATGTGGTAGTGTATCAATCGAAATAAAGGGGACAAATCATTGTCATGCTTTGAGGACAAGGTCGCTTTCCATTCCAAAGAGCCAGGCATACAAACAAATGCATCAGCACATAAATAACTCGCAATAGACCTCATTATTTTCTCTAGATTACCCCTCTAACTCCAAACGTTAATTCATATTTTATGCCCCAAACCAAAACAATATATATAATAAAAATAATAATAATTGATGCAGATCGATGGAATAAAACTTTTTTTTAGTGACGTTCTCCAGCACCCTTTCAGCTTGGGATTTCACTCTTCTAACATTGATGTACTTTTAAAAGAAAAATTGTGGAGTTATAAATATTAATTCAAAAATTAAGAAAGTAATTTTTGATAAATTTGTAATTTAGTATATATGTGCATGTATTTTATCATAATTAAAATCATTACATTTTTAATTTATGCACTTCTCCTTTAAAGTGCACTCCTCACTTTAGAGGAGTTAAATTTGAGACGAATCTGTGAGATGTTGAGGCATACTACAAGCCTTAGCAACAATGATACCTTTACCTTTTAGGATAAGGTTATACTTACTTTTATTTTAGACTTACCACTCTTACTCCCTGATTGATTATTATTTGATCAATTTGAAATCAATAACAATTAATTTTTCCATTTTAACAGTTTATTTCAAATTGATCCAATAATAATCAATTAAATAGTAAGAGTTCAAATTGATCCAATAATAATCAATGAGTGCTAAGTCTAAATTAGTGGTAATTAAGTATAACAACCCCCTACCTTTCAATGATAGACCAATAGAAATGATGTTGAAAGGCTAAACAAAATAAAATGGATTTGACAAAAGAGAAACTCTCTTCTTAATTAAATTTATCAAAATAATGTTTACCGAAATTTTTTTTTATCAAAATAATAAAATATTCAACTTCTACAATAGAGATCTTAAGCAACTTCTTATATACCAATTGCAAATAAATTTGAAATTTAAAGTCCTAAAAATAAGAAAAATTCTTTAAAAAATTATAATGAAAGCTATCTCCTAAAACTAAAACAATTTTTTTTCTCAAAATAAATATAATTTATCAACCTATTATCCAATAATTTCAAGTTCAACACATGTCCAAAATCTTAGACCTTTAATCAAGTCAAATTTGTTGTTTTCCAATTTTTGCCTAACAAATTACAATCAAATCTATTGCTTTATTTAAATTAGGATTTGGTTGTAATTTGTTAGATTTCAAATTGATACTTCTTTTGAATATGTATGCCATAATTGTAACACCCCGTTCCGGATCAGCGTATTAACCATATTTATGATATTAAGCTTAGTTATGATCACAATAATTGAGTTAAAATACAGTAAACATTTTCATTTGAAACAACCGTATTCCAAACAATTCCCTTAACCTGATCATAACCAAAAACAAATGTGGAATATAATTATACAGCTTAAATATCACACAAAGCACATACAAAGAATGCTAAGTGGTTCTCATAAACCAACGAAGCAATGATACGTTTTTACACGACATACCAACCTTATATAGGTTCAGTTTTGTGAAAATTGCACTTGACCTGTTATTAATTAATTTTCCATCTTCTAGTATGTTGAAATAGACATTATAATCTTTCCAACGGGTTATCATAAGCTTAATTTGGACTTCTACAACTCCAGATATCTTTACCATAAATTTACTGCTCAAAACTGTCAACATACGTCAACAGCGAATCTGCACTGCTCTACAGCGTTGGATATTGCAGTAAAATCACTTATCTGTTTTCTATAAATTTTTAATATGTTATAGTTGACATCCATACCTTCAATTTGATATATTATAAGCTTTGTTTCGATAAAAAACGAAGGAGTTATGAATTTTCTAAGTTATCAACTCTTGCCGTCAACTTCACTGCAATTGGGCAGTGAACAAAACAGCAAAATTGTACCAAGACTTAAACGCATTGCTGTCCCATATTTTAGGATATTAGAGTAGACATCCTAAGCTTCAAAATGACAGCTCACCCATCTCATTTGACAAAGAATTGAGTGAGATATGACTTACCAAATTCATACACACAACACTTACGTTTTCTTATAAATTTTGACCGCATCTCCACTGTTTTTTCAACATATATCAAAACTTAATTATCAGAACGTATCAGAACTTATCAGAACAAATCAAAACATATTCTCAGAAATTCCACCAGAGCTATCCTTTTTACGAAAAATCTCCACTTGT